GGACAGCGCCAGCATTTTCATGGGTGCTCCAACGGCGAAATAAACACGAACAGACAAATTCCAGGCTCAAGTTTTTTTTTACCATTTTTCCCTTTTGGTTCAAGGATAATCATTCAACATCGCGTGTTGCTGAAATTCAAGGAGTGTGTATGTGATTTTTATCATGCAAACAGCCGGAAAATGACCGACCCCACCCCCCTCTCCTCGCTCCCGCCCACCCACTAACTAGTTGGCACAAAAAAAAAGTGCTAAATGAGTAAGGTAAATGAAATTACCTGACCGAACACACCTCAAAAGTGGACACACACACGCACACACACACAGAGTGTGTCCAGTTGTGCGTGTGTTTTTTTATTTCCGTTTCCCTTTGACAGCGTTGCGTGTGTGTGTGTGTGTGCGTGTGTGTGCAAAGTTGTATTAAAGAGCGGAAATTACAAATTTGTCCGGCGCTAATGGATTTCCATTTCAATTTGCACTGCTTTGGCTACACTTTTTCAAATTTTCACCCTTCTTTATGCTTTTTAAAGTGCTGAAATTTTGGGTGTGTGAAAATTTGCACGTCGCGTTGATTAGCTGCACAAAATTTATGCGGCCTCAAAAAATGTGTCGAAAATGAAATTTTTGGCATTTCTTGTTGTCGTCGTCGTCCTTGCCACAAAACGCTAACGACTACAAAATTGCAAGAAAATTACCCGTTAATGTCCAACATTTATGGCCCGACTCGAAGACGTTGCTCTTCTAGCCAGAAGTGCAGGCCACCATGTCTGGGCTCCATGGCCAAGTAATCGCGGCTGCATTTCAGGCGAAATATCTATATATATAGGAATAACTGGCAAAACTATTATGGCCCTTGTGCTTATTACTTGCTGACATGCAAACACTTGCGCTCTCTCTTTCTCTCTGGCAAACTGAGCCCATCTCACTTTAATAGCTGTCTGCGCTGATGCCAAGGACAAGGACATTCTGGGCAGGGCAAATGGCGCCGACTTTAACTCGCGTGGGTGTGTCTACCTCTCTGTGTGTGTGTGTGTGTGTGTTTGAGCTCTGAGTCGCGCTGCCATTAAATATTTAAGATATTTTGGCATTTAATTTCGAGCACACAATAAATAATAACATGACACATATCAAACGTAATTTATAAGCACACAAATCGAAAAAGTAAATAAAATTGCTTTTCAACAAAACTCTTAGCGAACCTGACACACATGTCGAGCAGTCATTAATAATGTAGCCCGATGCCACATTCATGTGGCAATACAATGAAAATCGACAGGCCAAAAAAAGGAATCGACAGTGTGGGTTGCCCAAGTGGAATGTCAAACGTGCCGCTTGCCACTGTCAAAGTAAATTTATGCACCCATGCTCCACACGGGCAAACACGACGGGAATGCCGCACCAAACTAAAAGTATTTTCTATTTACCCCACGCCTCTCCCGGACCCACACCCCTGCTGTGGCTGTGGCATGAAATTTGCGGCCTGACTTTTGTGGTGTCTGCAACTAATTTCAATATCATCAAAAATTAATTTCACTAATTCGATTAGAGGCATTTTCTTCAATATATTAAAGCTGCACCACTTGGTGGTTGCTCTGGTTGCGTGCTGCGTGCTGCCTGGCGCCGCATTCATTAATTTAAGTCAGCTCCCAAGCTGACTTGGTCCACAGCTCAACACAGCTACGATGTGGCAATGGCGTGTGTGCTTTCTCCTAATGCTGTTAATATATGGCCATTAGCTCAATAATAGTTGGTAGGCCCATTTTGGCCAAAAAGCTAATTGCCCAAATGCGGCCAGTTAAGAGACTCTCTGCTCAAGTCAAGTCAAGACATCAGAAAATATCCTTCAAGTTCAATTAGTAACATTTGATTTTTCACTGTCAAGGTTTTATTTAAATAAATATAAATAAGTATGTCATATGAAAAATGGTTTCAGTTCACTGGTTCGGTTCACAATTGGAACCAATGTTCTTAAGCTGCGGTTCGTGAAGCTGGTTCAACACATTCATGAGCTCTGTTTGTGGCTCGAGCTTGGGTTCATCTTACTTCTGCTAATTTAAAATAAAGTTTATTCATTCGAAATATATTAAAAATATTCTTTTGGATTAAACCAAAAGCGGGTTTGGGTACTCCTATTTTTTTTATATACTGATTCAGTTCAGAGCTTGGTTCATTTTCAAACCTTTGTTCTTCTCCTTTCTTTCAATTTTAAATAAACTCTATTGAATCCAAATATCAAGCAAATCTGTGGACCAAGACAAACTTTGGTATCATCTCATTTCTTGCAATTTTAAATAAAAATAAATATTAAAAAAAAATATATATATAAATATAAGCAGTTTTTTTTGGATTAAACCTTATTCAGTTCAGAATTGTGCTCAGGATAAAAACAACAAAATACGAAGCTCTAACCGGTTCGGCCTTGATACAAAAACCCAGGGCTGCACTCCTCATATAAATGCCCACTAAAATCTATTTTTAAAATATTTCTTAACTTTTTCCACTTCCTGCTGGAACTGCTGTCATCTTTGACAGATCCGCAATCAAATTTTAAAGCCTTTGTCATCGTCGTGGCCCGAAATTGTGCATTTAATTAGGTCTCAGAAATAAACTCCATCTGAGAGAAGGCAAACCTTAATAGCGAATTACACACAACATTTGTGAAACATTTGCGTTTTCATTTTAAAAACCTTGCTCATGCAAATTAAATCCCAGGTAAAAGACGTGCGCGTTTCCTGTATGCAATGGGCACGCTTCTTCTTCATCTTTCTGGGCATTTTTTTTTTATATATTTAATTTGGCTTTATGGGCGCTGCCGCACCTTATTTCATTTGGAACAAACAAAGAGCTGGCAAATAAAAAAGAAATGCTGCTCTGCTCATGTGTGAAAAGGCAGTTCAGGCCAAAGCTGAATGGTAAAAAGCCAAAAAGGAAGCCAAACATATTCACATCAAGCGCTCAAAGTCACGAAGTGGGCCAGGGGGAGGTCGAGGAGGAGAAGGAGAAGGAGAAGGAGGAGGGGGAGGGGGAGGTGTCTTGGCAAACCCCCAAACTCGTCTGTAGAGTGCCAGCTAAAGGCAAACGTGCGCTTGGCTTTCACTAATTGTCTTTGCTGTGCGTGCGTGCGCGCTGTAAGGGTGTGTGTGTGGGTGTGTGTGTGGGGTGTGTGTGTGTGTGTGGGGTGCGTGTGTTGGATTTGAGGTGGTTGCATATATTTTACGGCTGTTTAGCCTCGCGTATGCGGCAGTTGCCTTTTATGGGCCTCTAAATGGCAGCCCTCTTCCAGCGCAAAATTTACTTGCAAAATTCCAAATGAAATGTAAATTCTTGAGTTCCCTTTTTTATGCATTATGGTCTGTTTTTTTTTTTTTACTTTGTTTTCTTGATATTATTGTTGCACACCTGGCCAATTATGCGATCTATTTATGAGCGCTGCAATCTCATTATTCACTTAATGATCAAAAATACATTTTAATAAAAGCAAACGCTGGCGATTCGCAATGTCAGACACTTCCGTTCGCTTGACTAGGCAAAAATACTATATACATACTGAACATTAAATATAGACCAGTTACCATGTCTATATAGTACGAGTATATTTACGCCTGCACTTACCGCATGTCAATCAAAAATCTCCAACTGTGACGCTCACTACAGGATGTCGGTTTGTGGGTCGTCCACACGGTTTGTTTGTCTGTCATTCTGCTGGCAAATTCCCGGTGCCAATTAAAAGTCGCTTGCAGAATTGTCATGCGGGGCTAGCCGTAAGGCAAAGGCATTCGGATGACAATGGCGCAGTGGTAATAAGGCAACGTCAGCTAAGCAAAACGACAGGACACAAGTCATTCACTCAGTCGCAGCGTGTGCTCCTTGCATGTCCTACCAAAGTAAATTAATTGCAGACCTTTGCCAGGGACCTGTTCCCATTTTCATGTTCCTGACTTTCTGCCTCGTGTAAATTAACATTATCATCAACAAGCAACAGCAATAAGAATGAGTGCCCCTGCCTCTCCCCTGCCCGTGTCCGTGCTCGTGCCCGTGTCCGTACACTAAACTTGCCTAGATTAATCGACCTGATTAACCGCACGCAGACCCCATGCAGAAGACGTCGTCCCAGTCCCCAGTACCGAAACACCCAAAGTCGCATCCGGCTTGCCTATTCATTATGCAATTATTTTGAATGACTCTCGTAAGTGATATTTCCGAGGCATTTCGATGTGTATATTTCATGCGCTCTCGCTATACGGAATGCATTTCATTTGTGGCAGAAACTTTTGGGCATTTGTCTAAATGTCAAATGAGGTTAATGCTAAGCTGTTGAAGCTTGTGGTTAACTACGTAATTGAATGTTTATCAATTACGCAGAGGAATTACACCAATTATGCCATATAGAACAAAGTCCCTTTAACTTCAATTGTATTTTCGATTTATTTCGATTTCTTTTTTAAAATTCAGTTACATTTTAAAGCTTTACAGTCTAGGCTGTTATTGGGCGCCAATTAGTAACTACGATTATCCTATCGATCTTGTCTTATCGATATATCGCATGATTTAAGTGTTGCGGTGTGCCGATACGTGTAGTTACGATACGATAAGTGTTGGACAGCACAGCTCAAAATCAGCTGATCCTCCAAAAAAATGCCGACTGCATGTGCTTCGGATTTGTTGTGCAAATTATATTATCTTGTCTATTAGTCATTTACCCATATATGGTTAATAATTGTGTTTTGTGTGCGCGTATCGGTAAGCATATTACTGAGTAATATGTATCCACGTATCAGTTGCAGCAGAGTTGTAGAAGCTATAGCCCCATAAAATATGGAAGCACATCAGTTAAATATATTGGATTTAAATGACTATTGTCTTGGTCGCATACTTAAGCATCTGGAAATCGAAGATCTTGTTAATTTTGGACAAGCCTGCTCGCGTTTTCGGGAAATCTTAAAAGACTGGTCCTACATACTCTATCCAGTGTTTGAGATAAGGCGAAGTGACAATGCAGATATCAAATTGCAATTAAAACTTTTCTTCATTGTTTGTGATATCGTTAAAAAATTGTTTCTGGATATTGGGGAAAGCTCAATACAAGGCGGCTTTCCTGTTGATCAATTCTGCAATCATGTTAAGAGCATGGACAGCTTGGAATGCTTTATCATCAACGAAGGAAGCGGCTTAGGGCGAATGTTTAAAACGGCGAATCCTGTGCGTGACCGAATAATCGAGAAAACATTTAAAGCCCTGGAGCACTTACCGAAATTGAAGAGCATTAGTGTAACGTGTGGATCCAACAGGTGAGAATTTCCCTCCAAATTATACTCTTAGTCATGTTTTAATTTTCGTTATTTTTAGTTACAACGCGAGCTGCTTGATTCAGATGAAATGCCTGCAAGAGATTTCACTAAATACCAAAATAGCTGCAGAGGATCTTGTTGAGATATGCAAATCGAATGAAAATCTGCGTGTTTTATGGCTACGAGAGGTTGTCGGAGAGCTAAATGATATTGCGCCGCATTGCCAGAACCTGCAAGAAATTGTTTTTCCAATGTTCAGTAGTCACACAACATACGCTGGACTTGCTAAGCTGCCGAATATAAAAAAAATTGTCATTAAATCCACAAATTCAACTTCGCCTTGCGCCAAGCTGATAGAGCTCTTCAGCGCATTTGCCGCTCAAGAGGAAAAAACCCAATTACAGAGCTTGATATTGCTCTCGAGTTTGAATTTTGAAGAGACCACTAAACTAATCGAATTGAAATTCTTAAAAGAACTGCGCTGTTCATTCGAAGATGCTAGCTGCATCGATCTCTTGACCGATCTAACTGAACTGGAAGGTCTTTACATAATGCTGGGGCGCTCTGGAGCTGGCTCCAAGGAATGCTTAAATGTTCTCAGATCTTGCAAAAAACTGCAGCGTCTGCACATAAATGCTAATCTATCGACAGACTTCGTAGATAAGGTGCTGGAAGTATTACGAAAGGTTCGCAATGCCGAAAAGCAAAAGCCATTACAATTGTATTCCACAGGTGTTATGCATCTATGCGAGGAAGGAGAGGTGAGACTATTGGCAAAACTACCTACAAACAATTATTTATAACCTTTCATTTTAGGAGAAACTGGTTGACAATAAATACTGTACTATAGTGAATCACTCAGAGTATCTACGTCCATTGCCCTGGAGACTTTCAATCTAAGTATGGAAGAGATAAGAACTATACAATGCCAAATAGGGCAATGCTTTATCTAATCAATAAAAACACGGCAAATATATTTATTACTTTAACAAGCCGATTAATGAAAATGTTCGCGTATCGCTGAGAAACACACCAGTTGTAATAGAGGTGTAGAAGCTATAAGACGTATAATATGGAATCGAAACAGTTGAATATAATGGATTTAAATAACTATTGTTTTGGTCGCATACTTAAGTATCTGGAAATTGAAGATCTTGTTAGTTTTGGAGAAACCTGCATGCGTTTTCGAGAGGTCTTAGGAGAGTGGATTAATGTGCTCTACCCAGAGTTCAAGATCGAGGACTGTTACGATTTGAATGATATTGAATGGGAGTTAAAACTGTTTTTCATAGTTCGTGGCGCCATTAAAAGAATGAAGTTCGTTATTGGACAACCAGTGAGTGTTAGCTTAGGCATAAAAAATATATATACAGTACAATAACTTTTGATTTAAGTCAATAGTTATTTAACGTTATTTTATGCCTGCATCAAACTCACACTTACTGTATGACTCCCCCGCTACAGGTAGCTTTTCCTGTGAATAGATTTTGTAATCATGTGAAGAGCATGGATAGCTTGGAAGACTTTACTATATACATAGGATATCAAAAGGTATGGCAATTCGGAATTATAGACAAAGTATTGAGTGCCCTGACGAGTTTACCGAAATTAAAGAGCCTTATTTTTAGCTGTAACACACAAAGGTGAGACTTGAAATGCAAATTCTTCTCGAAGTCATGTTTTAATGTCTGTCATTATTAGATTCGACGAGTGCAAATTAATAAGGTTTAATTGTCTGAAAGAGCTTGAATTATTTTATGGAATAGCTGTGAAGGATCTTGTTGCCATATGCAAATCGAATGCAAATCTGCGTATTTTAAAAATCGAAATGGGCAACGGAGAGCTCAACGGAATTGTGCCGCATTGCCAGAATTTGGAAGAAATTTGCTTTCCAATTAGTTGTTCATCATATGCTAGACTTGCGGAGCTGCCCAATATAAGAAAAGTTGTCATATATAACGGTTGTTCAACGTCGCCCCCTTGGCCCAGGCTCATGGAGTTTTTCAGCGCATTTGCCGCTCAACAGCAAAAAACCCAATTAGAAAGCTTGATATTGTACCCAAGAATTAACTTCGAAGTTACCACTAAGTTAATCGAATTGAAATTCTTAAAAGAACTGCGCTGTTCATTCGAAGATGCAAACTGCATCGATCTCTTGACCGATCTAACTGAACTGGAAGGTCTTTACATAATGCTGCCTCGTAATGGACCTGGCGGCAATGAATGCCTGAATGTTCTCAGATCTTGCAAAAAACTGCAGCGTCTACATATAAACTGTAAGCTGTCGATAGAGTTTATAGTTGATGTTTTGGATGTATTACGACAGGTGCGCAATGTCGAAATTCAAAAGCCATTACAATTGTGCTCCAACAAGTATTGGGATCCATCGAATGAAGAGGAGGTGAGCGTGACAAGAGTAATACTTAGAATCCAACTAAAATTGTATTTTTAGGAGAAACAGGCTAACAATGCCTATTGTACCATAATGGATTCCAGATATTTTAGGATCATATAAAATGTTGCATAGGAGTCAAGCTATGGGCTATCAAGGTTTGCAAGAACAAATCAATTTATCATTTTAACAATTAAGTCTTGAAAGTGCCTCGCATATTTCTGTGCTGATATGATATATAGGCTAGCGAATTAGCCAGCCATTCATTCGACATAAATCTACGCGAAATAATGAAACATTAAAAATTACAAAAACTGGCACCCGCCCAGACATATCCGTCTGCAGACGTGACGTCACAAAATAAAGCAACAAGAAATTATTTTAAATATATATATAGATAAAGGCATTTGAGTATTATATGTATATATATGTGTGTGTGTGTTAGTATGTGCATCCACGATGTATGTACATGTATGTATGTATGTATGTACATGTATGTATGTATGTATGTATGTATGTATGTACATATGTATGTATGTTTGTATGTATGTATGTATGTATGTATGTATGTATGCATGTATGTATGTATGTACATGTATGTATCTAAATGTATGTATGTATGTATGCATGTATGTATGTATGTATGTATGTATGTATGTATGTATGAATGTATATATGAATGTATGTATGTATGTATGTATGCTTGTATGTATGCACATATTTATGTTTGTATGTATGTATGTATGTATGTATGTATGTATGTATGTATGTATGCATGTATGCATGTATGCATGTATGCATGTATGCATGTATGCATGTATGCATGTATGTATGTATGGATGTATGTTTGCATGTATACAAAACAAACATGCATACATGTATGTACAAACATACATACATATGTATGCTAACTTAAAACTTCGCCCACCAAATCATTGACACCCATTTCCACGATAGGGGGGAATGAATTTTTCGAGAAGTGCAAGACACCCCTTTGAGCAGAAATCTTTGAAAATGAGTTTGAGGTCTATCGAATGGTAAACAAAAAAGTTTCATACGCGTTGTTCGCGATTTTAAACATGAACCTTCATCACATAAACTAACTGCTGGGAAAATTGCAGCTTCCTAGCTCTAACGGTTTGGGCTGTGCGTTGATCACCAATCAGTCAGTCAGTCAGTCAGGACAAACAGTTTTATAGTTGGTTTGGCACAGAAGTAAGTGTCTTCCCTCAGAGATCTAGACTGGACCTGAGCTACTTTTAAACTCCTGATTGCTCTTTGGCTGTTCGCCAGGTGTGTGTGTCGTGTCGGATTTTTTGAGGTCTTAGCATAATGTAATTAGTTGCAACAGCCCAGAGCTACAATAAACAAGCAAAAGACAACAAGTAGGCATGCCTAAGTCGACAGTGTACGACTAGCCGATACCCTGTACGCAGTATATAACATTTAGATCAGGTTGATTTAGCATTGATTAATTGCATTTGTTATACCCGTTTTGGCTAATTGGGTACAGGGTGTGCAGAGAAAAAAAAAGCAACTATATAAATTCTTGAGAACGTGCATAAAAAATTATTTGCTCGCACGCATGAACGCTGCCCAATGAAGACTTCTATTCGTTTTTTTTTTTTTAATCTAGAAATGCTGTTTTTGTTGTTTGATAATTTGGCAATGAACCAAAAATAAGCGGCCACAGCAACAACAAAAACAACTGATTTGTAAAGGTGCGAAAACTCTGTGATCAGCATGTCGGAAAATCCGACTCGATGGCAATTGGCCCGTTTCTTTGGCCCCTTCTGAGATTCTGCCCTTAAAGGCGCAACTGCAGCAGGCTTTTCAAAATACTTTTAATATATTAATATTTTTTATTATTATCAATTTTCTGCTACACTCGTTTTGCGGCGGATCTGCACGCATTTATTTTGAAGTATTTACATTATTATCTTTATTTTTAGCTTATTTTCAAAGCATTTTTTCATGTTGATTATTTTTATATTTTATTATTATTATTACCATTCTTATTATTATTTTTATTATTACTATTCTTATTATTTGTATTATTATTATTATTAATATTATTATTATTGTTATTATTATTATTATTATTATTATTATTTTTATTATTACTATTATTATTATTATTATTATTATTATTATTATTATTATTATTATTATTATAAGTATTATTATGATTGTTATATAATATCCATTTAATTGCTAACAAACTACCGTCTAAATATTTATCAAGCACAATTTTTTGAACATTCTTTCATCTAATTGCACTTCAAAGTGTTCCACAAATCGTTGAACCACTCAATTGTGGGGCAATCAATGTGGTTTGGCCTTTAAAAAGTTGAAAAGTCAACGTTAAACAGATTGCCCAACGCACGCATCGCTTGGCCACGCCCACTGTGTGTCAAGCACGCTAATTTACTGTTACATTATTTACATACATACACACACACACACACACACACACACTGAGGCTACGATAAAACTGAAAGGTTGTCACTTTGGAGGCGTTAGGCGGTCGCTCGTTTCGTGTAGTTGCTTGGTAAGCAGGACGGGGGCGGGGGGAGTCACATAATAAGAAGAAAAAAAACCGAAGAATTCCATGAACGAGGAGGTGGCAACAGGGCGCATGAGCAATGCCTTTGTCGCTGGCAACATGCAAAAAATGTTGCCAGGAAAGAAAAAACACGTGATATGCGCCTTAAATTGAAATAAAATGTGGTTTTTAGAAAAAGGCAAACACTCATAACGGTTCATATTTATGGCCTAAACAATTGTGCATTAGCTTTGGGCCAATTATGAATTGTGTTGCCATTAAGTATACAAAATGTTGCTAAGCTATAAAGAGATAACATGAATAGCATCCACAAAGTTTCCCGCCAATTGCAGGCCAAGCCGAAGTGTATACAAACAAACGCACACACACACACTAGCACGCACACACACACATACACTGGCACACTCTAGCAACCCCGAAAAGCCGCAAAGCAAACAAGGCGTGTGTGGGGGTGGGTCGAGTGGGTTTTCGTTTGGGTTGGGTTAGGTTAGTCGTCACCTGACGCTACATCGGCTGCCATTTCGTACGGTAAGAGCATAAAATCTGCTCAAAGCTCAAGCTGAAACCAAAAGCCGGCAACTGGCTCCTGCCTACACAGCCCCCCACGCCCCCTCTCGCCCACACACACACACACACACACACCGAACTGTTATTTACATTTTGTTTTGCCGGCTTTTCTGCTTCGCGCACAATGCCCGATCAAAGCCGAACGCTGCGCAGCCGAACGCGAACAGCCCTTCGGCTGGGCTGTCGTTTCGCGTTCGCATTTGTTCCGAAACGTTTCGAATATCGGCATCAGTTGGCAACGGCCCGCACGCTGATACGGACGTGTTTTTCGCACGAGTTTTCAATTAAATTTTTGAATAAAGCATTTTTGAGACGTTTCTGTGTTATTTTCAGTTATCGCGATTTGCGTCTGAAATAAGTGCAATTAGTGTCGCAATATTGAGAAATTTTTGTGTGCAATGAATTGAGCGATTGCCCGATGCCCGATGCCCGATGCAATTGCACAAAGAAAATTGCAGATTGATTGAAGAAGAGTGTTAAACATTTTTCAAAATTGTATTGTGTTTGTGTTTTTCTACTGATTCCAACAGCTGGCAACATACAAAAGGTAAACCTCTACTTTCATTCAAAAAAAAAAACACGGAAATCTCGCCTTTTTTGTGACAGCAACACAAACCGCGCATGTTAATTAAAGACAGGCGCAAAAAATTTCCAAAAAAAAGGGAGGGGGAGGAAAAGTGTTTTTTGAGTATGGGAAATGTTTTATGGGGGGGAGGAGATGCCATGGCCAATCCATCCATCACTCAATTGCCTGTTCAGTAATTTTGGGCCTTCTCGTTTCATTTCTGCTTGCGACACGAATAATTCTCTATTTGTTGCTGCCCGAGTTTGTTGTATTTTTCTATTTGGCTAACGCCCCTTAACAACTGTGCATTAAATTAAATTTTTGAAATTTAAATTGAGAGCACAAAACTGAGCACACACAATACAATGCACATGTGTTTTTCTTTGTGTTTTTCTGTGTGTTTTTCTTTTAGTTTTCTTTTTTTGTTTTTTTGCTTAATTTGTATTTTTGTTTTTGTTATTGTTATTGTATTGTGTTCCATTGCGTCAGTCACAGAGCCATTCGCAGGCCAATTCCGGAGCCCAGAGCCCGGAGCCAGACCCCATCTCGTCTGGCCGTTAACAATAAATAATCAGCAGCCGCTTTGATTTGCCACTGTCTGGGTGCCATAAATATTTATGCAACTGGACGCACTTGTTTAAACAGGCGCAGCACTTCATAAGTATTTTGGCCCGATTGATCCGTCATGGTTCAATTACGTCTAAAGCTAACAGTTGGCATATCCAAACACACAAATCAAATACTTTACTGCCTGGCCACGCCTACTCAATTAAAAGTTTAATATCCAGCCCAGTTGCGGTTGGCAGTTGCATGCAGCAATATATCTGCCACATGCCGCCCAACAATTGTTTTGATCTTATCAGCTGAGGCGCCTCTCATTGCTCTTGTTCTTCTCCTTCCTCTTGTTGTTGTTGGTTAGTTTTGGCTTTCCTGCGGGCCTGTTTGTTGCATGTTGGGCTAACAAAATAATTGACAAAACAAATCATTTACGTGGCAAAAGTTTTCGGGCCTGCGCCACACGGCGGCAAAACACGCAACACGATTATCTGACGACATCCGAATTGCAGAGCGGGGCGGGCTTACAAAGACAAAAACTTTGCTAAAATATATATACATATATAAATAACAGCATAATAATGTGAGAGAACAATATAAATTCCAATGTTGCAGTCTTGCAGCCTGCGAGTGTGTGTGTGTGTGTGTGTGTGTGTGTGAATGCAATGACATTTTGTGTTTTATTTGTGGCATAAACGTTAAAGGCACAAATTTAAAGAGCTTGTATTTATTTATAAAATAATATTTATTTCATAAATTACAAAAATTGTGATAAACGTAAATCAAGCTAATTTTCTGTGCTTTTAAATTAATGCTAGTTCAGAAGAACTAAGTAAATTATTTGGCTATATTGCCGGGAGTTTTCTCATATTCCATTTAAAGAAGAAGAATAGTTTCAGGTCTTGGTAGACAGGCTTTTGAAGGTTTTGATACCCAATAAAGTGTACAATATAAGACGGTTTTTTTCAAAGAGAGGTGTAATAGTTTTTTTGGGTTCATATACATTTATATATACATATATGTATGTGATCTAAATAAAAGTTTAAATAAATACAATTTAATATAATGTTCAATTAAAGATAATGTCATTTTTGTTAAAGTAAATAATAGTTACAGCCTAACAGAGGGTATTGTTTTGTCATCAAATGTGTATCGTTTGGAAGGGGACATCTCTTAAACAATATAAAGTATATATATATAGATCATCTTCAACAGCCGAGTTGATATATTCATGTCCGTGCATCTATCCGTCCGTCTGTCCATTTATCTATCAGTCCGTTTGCTCATCTGTCCATCCGTTCATCCGTCCGTCTGTGTGTTTCTCTCAGCCTTAAAGCTAACGTATTGCAACTTTGCATAGGTCCATCTTTTTGTCGCAGGCAATATATATATAGTTTAGAACCAGCTGAATCGGACCACTATATCATATCATACTATATCATTCGAAAATCAAATCCTGGCTTAAGATAACTTGACCAAACGTAGGATTTATATCTCTATAAATATGCAGAATCTTATCAACATCGGTCCACAATATGCCATAGCAACAATCGGTTGAAAAGTAGAAGAAGATATTTTCTTTCAACTCAGCATTAACGAGCTTCACAATACTCAGATATCTGCCAAAGGGAAATGTCTGCAAGGGTTTCAAATCTTCGCCGTTTTCTCTCATTTTCATTGTTTTCGTTTTAAAGCACATTTACCTAGTATAAGCACATAATCAATTTACGCGTAGAATTACCTTCTGGCTCTTAACAATTTCCAAGATTTGAATTTAACCCGAATTTGATACATGTTTATATTTATAATAAACACAAAGCGCACATATTACACATACGCCACGTGGCTGTGTGTGTTTGCATAAAATGGTTAATAAATTTAATTGTGTGTGATCTTTTTTTTTCCAGTTTTATGTGCTTTTCCGTTTAAAATAATGTGAAACTTTTGATTCTTTTGAATCGATTGTATGCGAAACATCTGCCGAAAGGCGTGTTCCACAGTATTTCTGGGCCATAAATCTTATTGGACTGCCGCTTTATGCGCGTCAAGTGCCAAATGCATAGATTAATGTTGTCCAAAATAATACAAAAGCTAATTATCTAAATCAGTCATTTTTTTTTTTATGAAATATATAATAAATTACTCGAAGAGATCGAGGACGAAATATTTGCTGATGCGTTGCAAAAATAAATGCATGCAACATTTTTAACCGCAATTTGTAAATTTTATTATGGGAAAACAACCGCAAATTTGCCGCCTGTGGCTGCGAATGTCAAGGGTGTTTATTTGGTTTGTGGCTTACAGTCGATTGCCTGATTTGCACACACACACACACACACATTCGACATGTTAACAAGTTAACAAGTTGTTAAACACACACCGTGGGGGCAGCGCAATTTTTACAGCCTATTCTGGGTAAAAATCCCAACATTTATTGCTATTAGTTTTTGGTTATTGCCGATGAACGGAGCGATATGATAGGGGAACACACACAAATGAAACAACCAAATCTCGCTCCACATTGGGGACCAGCAAATGGGTCTAGGCCTGACAAATGTCGGCTCAAGTACCGTCCCTCCCCCCCCCCCCCCCCCCTTCGTCCATTCCGCTTGACGAGGTTTGTTTATTAAAATCGAATTGCGACTTATTGGGCGCCTAACAGCAGGCAATAGCTTTTATTGCATTCCCATTTATGTAATACAATAATACAATATTACGACCATATAAACGTAAACGAAACACACAAAGATAAAAACTATTTGGAAACCAGACTTTAGTGAAGAGAATTAAGGCAAACTTTAATATATGGTTAATTTCCATAGTTGGGCTTTTTGAGAGAGAACTGCATTTTTTTTTATCAGATTCAATGACAATGACAATATTTAAGATTAAGAAACTTGTGAACATATTTTAATTTCTCGGAGAAAAATAACGAAGTTATTGTTTATATGTTTTGTAGATATGTGAGAAAAGTGAAGCTTGCAAATGCTGAGTTTAATGAAAATATCTTGGAAAAAAGAATATTTTGGAATACAATAACCTTCTTTTCGTCCGATCGTTCCTTTCGCAGCTTTATGATATAGTTGTCCGATGTTGATAAGTTTTTGCATATATATGCGGATCATAGTGAAACTGATAACTTCCGTGTGTGGTCAAGATATCTTGATAAACAGAAGAGTATATACAAAAGCAACAATATATACCTTATACTATTGTAAGTAAATCGCCTTTCTATGCAATTTTCATCGCTTCAAGTGCCAACAAAAGTTTGATAATATTTTCGTAATATGTTTTAATATAAAGTATTGTTTATTTGTCATAGTTAATATCAAATTTACACACTCGCTCTCACTTCTCGCTCTTTCTCCTACACCTCAATTTCTAGCCTTTATTCCGTTACTCGTTTAATTTCTTTATCTCAGTTACTCTCTTTCTCTCTATTTCCCCATTTTTTCTCTCTCTCTTTCTTCACCCCTTTCTTTACCATTCCTTTCGCACTTACTGGCATTGCAGTGTCGCTCTTTCAATAAGTATTACTTGATTTTATGAGAATCGCATAGAAGGGCGTTCTATTTAAAACAAAGTGAGCACATTCTGTAGCAGACTAGAAACTGCGAAATCAGTTGCTGCTGTTGCTGCTTCTGTTGTCCTTGGGAGCATGTGTTTCTAAGTGACGATTGTCCAAATAAATAGTCTGGCATATAGTTTATATTTGTTGGAAATAGTTTATGCCATCAATAGGTGTGTAAAGAACTTTATGGCGTTTTAATTGTATTTGGCAGAATTGCTACACAGTGACGTGCAGCAGGGCGAATACGTGTTGGGAAAATGGGAGCACAATGTGCCTTCCAGTTCGGCTCTGAGTCAGTCACTTAGCCAATCAAGTTTTCTTCGCCGGCCTTTCCGGCAAGCTGTTTATTTATGCGCGCTTAATTTATATTTTCAGTCTGGTTAGCTGCTTTTTGCACACATGATAGTCCAATTTGTAATGATAATATAAAAATTTCAACGGCTTTGTCATCGTCGCCCCGCTGGGCGCTATAATTAACAAAAAAAAAAAATGAAGAGGAAATATAGCCAGCGGAACGGAAAACCAAAAATTAGATGAGAAATCTCAATCACATTACCTGCGCATATTTGTGCAGTTACAGCATCAGCTCCTGCCCCAACACCTGCACCTGCAGCTGCCCCAGTATCTGGCTCTGCCTCCCCCCCGCGACCCGAGTTCGTCTTTGCAGCATCATCAAAGCAGCCGTCGTATTAACTTTTCATCTAAACAGGCAGGCGAAAGCCGTTGCAGCTATTAAAATCGAAAAATTTGTGTATTTATGGCAGGTGAGGCGCGGCCGGGAAATGGAAAATTCCAAGCATATCAAAACCATTTGGGCCACAATTGCAATTGCAACTGCAATTGCAATTGCGAGATG